CGCTCTGCTAGGTTTGCTAATTGCAATCACCAACTCAGCCACACTTAGCGCTCTGCTAGGTTTGCTAATTGCAATCACCATTTAGCATCGCTTGGCGCTCTGCTAGGTTTGCTAATTGCAATCACCAACTCAGCCTCACTTAGCGCTCTGCTAGGTTTGCTAATTGCAATCACCAACTCAGCCACACTTAGCGCTCTGCTAGGTTTGCTAATTGCAATCACCAACTCAGCCACACTTAGCGCTCTGCTAGGTTTGTTAATTGCAATCACCAACTCAGCCACACTTAGCGCTCTGCTAGGTTTGCTAATTGCAATCACCAACTCAGCCACACTTAGCGCTCTGCTAGGTTTGCTAATTGCAATCACCAACTCAGCCACACTTAGCGCTCTGCTAGGTTTGTTAATTGCAATCACCAACTCAGCCTCACTTAGCGCTCTGCTAGGTTTGCTAATTGCAATCACCAACTCAGCCACACTTAGCGCTCTGCTAGGTTTGCTAATTGCAATCACCAACTCAGCCTCACTTAGCGCTCTGCTAGGTTTGCTAATTGCAATCACCAACTCAGCCACACTTAGCGCTCTGCTAGGTTTGCTAATTGCAATCACCAACTCAGCCACACTTAGCGCTCTGCTAGGTTTGCTAATTGCAATCACCAACTCAGCCACACTTAGCGCTCTGCTAGGTTTGCTAATTGCAATCACCAACTCAGCCACACTTAGCGCTCTGCTAGGTTTGCTAATTGCAATCACCAACTCAGCCACACTTAGCGCTCTGCTAGGTTTGCTAATTGCAATCACCAACTCAGCCACACTTAGCGCTCTGCTAAGTTTGTTAATTGCAATCACCAACTCAGCCACACTTAGCGCTCTGCTAGGTTTGCTAATTGCAATCACCAACTCAGCCACACTTAGCGCTCTGCTAGGTTTGCTAATTGCAATCACCAACTCAGCCACACTTAGCGCTCTGCTAGGTTTGCTAATTGTAATCACCAACTCAGCCACACTTAGCGCTCTGCTAGGTTTGCTAATTGCAATCACCAACTCAGCCACACTTAGCGCTCTGCTAGGTTTGCTAATTGCAATCACCAACTCAGCCACACTTAGCGCTCTGCTAGGTTTGCTAATTGCAATCACCAACTCAGCGTCGCTTAGCGCTCTGTTAGGTTTGCTAATTGCAATCACCAACTCACCCTCACTTAGCGCTCTGTTAGGTTTGCTAATTGCAATCACCAACTCAGCCTCACTTAGCGCTCTGCTAGGTTTGCTAATTGCAATCACCAACTCAGCCACACTTAGCGCTCTGCTAGGTTTGCTAATTGCAATCACCAACTCAGCCACACTTAGCGCTCTGCTAGGTTTGCTAATTGCAATCACCAACTCAGCCACACTTAGCGCTCTGCTAGGTTTGCTAATTGCAATCACCAACTCAGCCACACTTAGCGCTCTGCTAGGTTTGCTAATTGCAATCACCAACTCAGCCTCACTTAGCGCTCTGCTAGGTTTGCTAATTGCAATCACCAACTCAGCCACACTTAGCGCTCTGCTAGGTTTGCTAATTGCAATCACCAACTCAGCCACACTTAGCGCTCTGCTAGGTTTGCTAATTGTAATCACCAACTCAGCCACACTTAGCGCTCTGCTAGGTTTGCTAATTGCAATCACCAACTCAGCCACACTTAGCGCTCTGCTAGGTTTGCTAATTGCAATCACCAACTCAGCCACACTTAGCGCTCTGCTAGGTTTGCTAATTGCAATCACCAACTCAGCCTCACTTAGCGCTCTGCTAGGTTTGCTAATTGCAATCACCAACTCAGCCACACTTAGCGCTCTGCTAGGTTTGCTAATTGCAATCACCAACTCAGCCACACTTAGCGCTCTGCTAGATTTGCTAATTGCAATCACCAACTCAGCCACATTTAGCGCTCTGCTAGGTTTGCTAATTGCAATCACCAACTCAGCCACACTTAGCGCTCTGCTAGATTTGCTAATTGCAATCACCAACTCAGCCACACTTAGCGCTCTGCTAGGTTTGCTAATTGCAATCACCAACTCAGCCACACTTAGCGCTCTGCTAGGTTTGCTAATTGTAATCACCAACTCAGCCACACTTAGCGCTCTGCTAGGTTTGCTAATTGCAATCACCAACTCAGCCACACTTAGCGCTCTGCTAGGTTTGCTAATTGCAATCACCAACTCAGCCACACTTAGTGCTCTGCTAGGTTTGCTAATTGCAATCACCAACTCAGCCACACTTAGCGCTCTGCTAGGTTTGCTAATTGCAATCACCAACTCAGCCACACTTAGCGCTCTGCTAGATTTGCTAATTGCAATCACCAACTCAGCCACACTTAGCGCTCTGCTAGGTTTGCTAATTGCAATCACCAACTCAGCCTCACTTAGCGCTCTGCTAGGTTTGCTAATTGCAATCACCAACTCAGCCACACTTAGCGCTCTGCTAGGTTTGCTAATTGCAATCACCAACTCAGCCACACTTAGCGCTCTGCTAGGTTTGCTAATTGCAATCACCAACTCAGCATCACTTAGCGGTCTGGTAGGTTTGCTAATTGCAATCACCAACTCAGCCACACTTAGCGCTCTGCTAGGTTTGTTAATTGCAATCACCAACTCAGCCACACTTAGCGCTCTGCTAGGTTTGCTAATTGCAATCACCAACTCAGCCACACTTAGCGCTCTGCTAGGTTTGCTAATTGCAATCACCAACTCAGCTTCACTTAGCGCTCTGCTAGGTTTGCTAATTGCAATCACCAACTCAGCCACACTTAGCGCTCTGCTAGGTTTGCTAATTGTAATCACCAACTCAGCCACACTTAGCTGGACTCAAGGGTAGCAACAATGTCTCTCTCAACAAAAAGAAACTCTGTGACCTACTCGAAACTTGTGAGTCTACAGGAAGCAAGAACACGGTGAAATTACTCACTCATCTCATCAATAAACTCGAAGAAACAGTGATCAGAATGGAACTCCTTGCCAATTATCTTCCCTTGAGCCTTTCAGCCCAAGAAAGAAAAAAGGCTCTGATTTCGTTTTGTAATAATCAGTGTAGTGGCAACAGTAACGCGATTAGACTAGTTTTCGAAAATCCAGGTGAGGATGATCAGAGTAATTCAACCCGCAACATCTTACAGTTGCACAACACACCGTCTCTCCGTGACCAACCGAGCCCACACGATTCGGGCGACTACGTAACCCCTGATGGACCTCTGTCTGGTAACACTGATACCAAATTTCAATTTGGTACCCCCAAGGATCAATCTTGCACTAGAAGTGCGAAGAAGAAAAAAAAGGGAAAGTCGCACAGAAAGAAAAAGGAAAAAAAGGGTAGCAACAACACCTCCCCTCGCGTCCCCCTTGGTCCTCATCAGAATTCTTTAGTCGCACCTGATACCGGGAGCCTATTATCCGCTAACGGGCCAACCACTGAAATTAACGACGACATGGAAACTGCGGGCGATATGCCCCTCAAGGGTCACCTAATAAGTACCGAATGCAGTCAATGCTCTGAGTTAAAGGCGGCGGTGACAGTGCTACAAGACAGTATTATTACGCTTAAAGAAGAGATACTGCAACAAAAGGCAATCTCTGACCTGATCATCTCGTCACCTACTGCCTCAGACAAAAAGCTGGAAGTCTTAGTCGCGAAAAAGCTCAGTCCGATTGAAGACAAAGTGAACCAACTAAGAGCTGACCTCAACCTACTTAGAGAGGCAGTAGATGAACAGAACAATACTCTGAACCTAGTGGCCAACACGAGGACTCAGTCCTCTCCAGACTTAAGAGCTGAGCTTGCTAACTGCTTCAACAAGTTGGAAGCAACGAATATCGCTAATAGAAGGCAGTTCGAAACACTTGAGCTAGGCCAAGACAATCTGAAGAAAGCAGTCAAGAGTGTGGCAAACACTGCTAAGAACCAGTCACAAGCCACAGCCGAAGAGCTAAAGGGTGAGCTCAATCTAGCCTTTCAGTCATTTGAAATTGTAAGTTCCTCAAATAGGACCCGAATCGAGGCACTTGAAGTAAACCATGAGAGTCTGACGCAGGCCCTCACCAGTTCACCACAGCCTCCGGCGAACCACAAGCCCGCCCGGCGTGACACACCGGCCTCTGTCGATGATACGAACAGGGAAAGCGAACAGGGTATCCTGTGGTCCAAGATCGTTGAGAATGGAGGCTCCGAGACGTTCACTACATCGAACAAGAAGAACAGCAAAAACCACAAAGAGAATGTACCTGTACCAGCAACCAGACAGGACAACCGCAGTGAGTCAAAACATTCAGAGACCACCGCATACGAGGCACAACCTAATCAACCGAGTCGTGAAGCCAAGGAGAGTAGAAACAAATCTTCCAGGCGAATAAGGGAAAGTTACAGACAGCACACTGTTCTTCTGATCCACGATAGTAACTTTGATCACTTCAACCCTAAACTGTTCAATAGTCAATTCAATGTACACTGCCTCAAGTTTGACAGCTATGAGGATACGACTAAAAAAACAAAGCTATTGAACAGCACCATCAAACGACTCAAGCCCGAATGCATATATGTTCACACGGGGATAAATGACCTTCTCAAAAAGAAATCTGGTCTCGTGAGTATCGTTGAGGAGTTCTCCGAGCACCTGATGAACACAACCAAAGCCCAAATATGCTTCTCAGGACTGATTCCATCGAGCAACGATAAAGCCCTCAATGAGAGAATCAGCATCGTCAACAAAGATGTTGAAGACTATGTGAGCTGGCTCCACAAACACAAGCCGGTTGCAAAAAATAGGATCTTTACCTTCCAAAATGACAGCATCGGTGACCAAAACTTTTACACAAGTAACGAAGGGTTCAAGCTGAGAGAACGAGGTCAAAAAATGCTGTGGGTGCGCCTCCGTGAAGGAATGAGGAAAACAATGCGCTTACCTCGAGTAAGCTACCAACCTAAGGACAGATCCAGACGCAGCACGAACAGGTTTAGAGATGAATAGCCCCCCTAAGATGAGACACTCACTCAAACTCATGAGCTGGAACATCAACCACCAGCGTGACAAATTTGAGGGTGTCAAATTCGAAATTGACGAGGTCCAGAAGCTCATAGCTGGCCACGATATCGTCTGCCTACAAGAAACTAAAGGACAGGTTTCTATGCGGGAATTCAAATGCTTCAACGCCAACAGATCGGATAGCAACTCAGGTGGCGTGTGCACAGCGATCCGGAAGCACTTGGCTGCAGGAGTAGTCAGAGTTCATTTTTCCAAATGCGACGACATACTCATCGTAAAGCTTAAAGCCAAATACTTCAACCTTGACAAAGATCTGAATCTTATCAATGTGTACGACTCGCCAGCTCATGGCTCATACAAGAAACGAATGCGTTCCAAAATGGAACAATATACAACCACTTGTGAGCACTTAGAAGAGTGTCTATCAAATATCCCCGACTCCGAAGATGCTGCCATACTTGGTGACATGAACGCGCGGACCGGCACATTGAACGACTTCCTTATACCATGCGAGTCTAGGGACCTTCAAGTTGAACTCGATCCTCCCCAGCATTCTATATCTCCTACTGAGGTAGCCTCTAGAAACAACCAAGATCGGATTCTCAACTCCAACGGCAAACCCTTCATTGAGCTACTCCAGACAACTGGAATGATAATCCTAAACGGAAGGACAATTGGGGACATATTTGGCAGTCCAACTTGCATTCAAAGAAATGGAGTAAGTACGGTCGACTACATTTGCGTGTCCCACAGCCTCCTTCATCGGGCAAGGTTCTTCAAAGTTGGTGACCTCACCCCTTATTCTGACCACAGACCAATATCCACCACTTTAACCACTAACATAAGGAACATTGTGATGGCTGGCGACATCTCGAACGAAATGGAGCTCAAATTCGCATCGATCCCGAAGCCATTCAAGTGGACCAAAGATGCCTGCTCTGGACTTGGTACCACAGAAAAATTCAAGTCAGCCCAGAACACCGCTCAATTCAAAGAAAAAGTTGATTCTCTTCTTCAAACTGATATTTCCTCCCCTGACGACATTCGCAGTTTCAATGAAATTGTGATTGCCACCTTTACTAACCTGGCAAGTCAAGTTACCACCCAGAAAAGTGGAAAGCCCAGTACTAACAAAAACAAATGGTTTGATTGGAGTTGTAGGCATGCTAAACGATTAGTCTGTAGAGACGAAAGAGCCAAGAATAACACCCACATCGATCCTATGCTCGTGGAATCCAACCGAGCAAGATTTTACCTCCGTAAGAAAGAATACAGGGCACAAACACGAGCTAGAAAGGGAGCTTACCTATACAAACTTAACGAGAAAATCAACCTCAGCAACAACATCAACTGGGCTGCTTTAAAAGACCTCTCGTCCGCTTGCAAGGACCCCGATACATTCGACATATATGACCTGATCGCATTTCACAAGTTCTTCAACGACCTATACAATCAGAAGTGCAAGGACCCCTCGCACGGTGGACTACAAACGAACACTTCGACCAACGAAGCTGGTGAACAGGGAACCGAGTACCACCTCGAGCCATCAGTCGAACTTGAAAAACTCAACACAGAGTTTACTATCCAAGAACTAAAGAAAGTCACCAATAAGCTCCAGAATAACAAAAGCGTTTCATGTGATCTTATCTCCAACGAGATGCTCAAGAGCTCCAAACTCGGTCTCCAAAAAGTCCTTCTGAAACTATTCAATGGTTGCCTAACGCAAGGAATCTACCCCTGGAACTGCTCAATAACTACCCCCCTACACAAAAAGGGGGACAAGCAGAACCCCGATAACTATAGAGCAATCACAGTCGGAAGTTGCCTTGGAAAACTCTTTGCATCCCTCCTCCTTGATAGGCTGATCGAATTCCGTAAAGTCGTCTGTCCCGACTTCCCTCACCAACTCGGATTCAGAGCTGGTGCCCAGTGCTCTGACCATATCCTGACCCTTACAACGATCATCGAGAAGTATACAAAGAAGCTGAAGAAGAAAATATTCGCTTGCTTCGTGGACTATCGTAAGGCGTTCGACACAGTCTGCAGGGAGGCTCTCATGTACAAACTCAGTAGACTTGGTATCGGAGGAAGCTTCTTCTCTTGCCTCCAGAACATGTACAGCAACTCAGTTACCCGTATCAAACTGAGCAAGAAGCTGTCGGACACCATCGATGTCACCATTGGTACCGAACAGGGGCATCCAATGTCGCCGGAGCTCTTCAAGGTATACATTTATGACCTCTCCATTAGACTAGCAGCTCTTGAGGACTTGTCAATTCCAGAACTGAACGGCTTCCCGGTCAGCCATCTTCTGTGGGCAGACGACCTGATACTTTTGGCACTCGACGCCAAAAGCCTGCAGAAACAACTTGATTGCCTGCACGAATTTGCAAGTAAATGGGAACTGTCAATTAACATCGACAAAACCAAAATCATGGTATTCAACTCGAGCTCTCGTTTGCTGAAGTGCTCCTACGGGTTCAAACTAGGGAACCTGGACATCTCATCGGCCAAATCTTACTGCTATCTAGGCATTCAATTCAGTCTCAACGGTTCATTTAAAGGTGCCATGAACGAACTGAGGAAAAAAGCACTAAGAGCATTTTTCTCGATCAGACGCATGGTCGACACTCGAGCATTAACAACAAAAACCATGCTCAAGCTTATAGACAGCCTCGTTAAACCAGTCGCTACGTATGCCTGTCAGATATGGCTACCGTGTACAAAAATGGCAAAGGAGATGGCTTGCGCTGATGGTTCAAGACAGAACCTTGCTAGAGCTGCAACAAAGGACGCACTTGAGACAACACACCTGAAAATGCTGAAATGGGTGCTCGGCTTACACAAGAAAGCTAACAACAACTTCTGTTACGGAGATACGGGCAGGTTACCATGGGCCCTGTCGGTACTACCACAATGCCTGAGATACTTCGACAGATTGTCTCAGACATCACCCGACGTGAGCAGCGTCAACTTTCTTGTACATCAGACATTCCAAGAGCAGAAGAATCTAAACCTCTCTTGGTATAAGACCTGGAACTCGATCGCTCAGTCTGAATCCAAAGCGGCCAAATTCGCTCGATCCGACCAACACAGAGCAGAAGGAACGACCTCAACTGCACATGGAAATTTGGTTGATCACTTTGTAAAAGATTGGAGAACAGATTTAGCATCCCAAAAGAAAATGCAATTTTACTGCACTATCAAACAGGTATTCGGAGAGGAGCAGTATCTCAATCTAAAAAATAGTCAATGTCGCATGCACATAGCAAAAATCCGCTCCAGTAGCCATGACCTTCTTATTGAGAGAGGGAGATACACAAAAGAAACTGGAACACTTAGCGCTCTGCTAGGTTTGCTAATTGCAATCACCAACTCAGCCACACTTAGCGCTCTGCTAGGTTTGCTAATTGCAATCACCAACTCAGCCACACTTAGCGCTCTGCTAGGTTTGCTAATTGCAATCACCAACTCAGCCACACTTAGCGCTCTGCTAGGTTTGCTAATTGCAATCACCAACTCAGCCACACTTAGCGCTCTGCTAGGTTTGCTAATTGCAATCACCAACTCAGCCACACTTAGCGCTCTGCTAGATTTGCTAATTGCAATCACCAACTCAGCGTCACTTAGCGCTCTGCTAGGTTTGCTAAGTAATTGCAATCACCAACTCAGCCACACTTAGCGCTCTGCTAGGTTTGCTAATTGCAATCACCAACTCAGCCACACTTAGCGCTCTGCTAGGTTTGCTAATTGCTATCACCAACGCAGCCACACTTAGCGCTCTGCTAGGTTTGCTAATTGCAATCACCAACTCAGCCACACTTAGCGCTCTGCTAGGTTTGCTAATTGCAATCACCAACTCAGCCACACTTAGCGCTCTGCTAGGTTTGCTAATTGCAATCACCAACTCAGCCACACTTAGCGCTCTGCTAGATTTGCTAATTGCTATCACCAACGCAGCCACACTTAGCGCTCTGCTAGGTTTGCTAATTGCAATCACCAACTCAGCCACACTTAGCGCTCTGCTAGGTTTGCTAATTGCAATCACCAACTCAGCCTCACTTAGCGCTCTGCTAGGTTTGTTAATTGTAATCACCAACTCAGCCACACTTAGCGCTCTGCTAGATTTGTTAATTGCAATCACCAACTCAGCCACACTTACTCTTAACGCTCTGCTAGGTTTGCTAATTGCAATCACCAACTCAGCATCACTTAGCGCTCTGCTAGATTTGTTAATTGCAATCACCAACTCAGCCACTCTTAACGCTCTGCTAGGTTTGCTAATTGCAATCACCATTCAGCATCGCTTGGCCGAGCGTTTTATTGAAATTTCCGCTCTGATACCACTCGATAATGACAGAACCAATCTCATATTAACCCTCTGATAATGTGCTACCTCACATAATCTGCACAACTTTTAATGTTACTTGAGGCACATGTCCTACCTACCTCACATAATGTGCCCAACTTTTAATGTTACTAGAGGCACATGTCCTACCTACCTACCTCGCATGTCCTTCTTTACTACGCTACTACTTTAACCTGCCTGATAAACTCTTTTACCTGCCATCAAACATTTTCATATTGTATCAAATATATGAGCTTATCGATATCCAATTTCACTTATATGCTCCGTTTATAAAATTAACTATCCCTTGTTTAGAACTTTAATTAAAAATAAAATTACAATTAGCAACAAGAGTCTCATAACCCACTATGTTGTTTCCAGTCATTGCTATATAGACAGTGGTAACTCTGATAACTTAGCTTTAAATGACATTAGTAACTTGGTCTGGAAAGTTCCGATAAATATAATATGTTGTCCTATTGCACACTTGTTCATATTGTGGTGAAAGCCATTTTTACTTTTCACTATTATTATTATTATATAATAAATTCATAAATCATTATATAATATATATTATATATTTTGTAATTAAATAAGATATATACAAATAGCAAGGTGTCCAGGAAGTTTTTGCATGTTTGTTGCTTAGCACAGCCCAAAGATACTGCTGTAGAGTTTGTGTTTTTATTTTCGGGTAATGAGATGTCATCGCTCCGAGACCACGTTCTCTGATTTGATTGCTGTTTAATGTTGAGGATGATGATAAATCACTCTGCATTGCACTATCACGTGACTAAGTTTAACACGTTCTCTAGATGGCTCTGACCCACAATTACAAACCCTATACACTGACCTAACCTACCCGATCATTAACTCAATTGATTGCTTAAACCGCACCCTATCGATTTGACCTACTTCCTTATATTATTATTTCGCCAATAACTCGTCAGGGAAGTATTTTATGAGGGATGATTAGAAATCAGCGTTCAAAAATATATCCATTTACGCTGGTTTCGACTACTGCAGTACAGGGGCCCTTTAGAAAAAGTTCCAGTGCAGAATGATTTAGCACGGTCGTGAAGCTCCGTATAATCAATAATACTGTAAAGTCCGTCCGTTTAAGGTCCGTTCATGTCCAAGTTAAAGTCCGTTGAGATTTTTTCCAAAATTATTCCACTGCGAACTCACCCCCCAGTTACATAGCGGATATTATGACAAATTATTAGACGGAGGTCCATTTCTACGGTGATGATTCTCCGGCTCCGTTTACTGTATTAGACGGAGATGAAGCTCTCCGGGAATTTTTCGGAGATTGTAGCAGTTTGTGGTAATTTCTTTGCACTTTGCTCCATCTGTGAGAATCAACAAAATTACCGTAGATGGTCTCCGGATAAGGTTATGGAACTGCAAACCGGAGAAATATCCGAAGAAATATTATTTGACGATCTCAGTCTAATAATTTGGCATAATATCCGCTATGGAACTGTACTGGGGGTAATGTTTACTTTTAGGATATAAAGCAATGAAAGGCATTAGTTTGGTCAAATCAAACGGAACATATGCTATCAGACTTTCAACTGACTAAGGCAGGGTTAAGACAATCTCGACGCTAGCAACGATCCCCTTTTACATAGTTCCACTAAATATGACAACTTTTTAATTTCAGTCAATTGTAATGGCTATCATCGGATTCGGACTAAATTATATCAACGGATCAATGAAAAACGAGTTATTATACAATTTAAATATTTTAAGTTAATTATACCATTTGAGGAAGATTTGTAGGTTTAAACCTACCAAGACACGCGCCGAGTTGGACTCGTCGACGGTCTTGTATATTTAAAACAAACATTTTACCGGTATCACCCGTTAAAGGAAGATGACCTGTGAATTTGATATGATCATCAAATCTGGTCATATTTCGTATTTGTTGTTTTTACACAACTTTCATAATCATAGACACTAATCTACAGATATTTTGACATTTTTTACTGCTTAACGACTGCCGTTCGTGCTCATTGTAATTGTATAATGTATAAAAAATTTGACCAAAACCCATAATCATGGGTAGAATGGACCGCTGCCAGTGTCTCTCTTTCCTAAACAAAAGGAAATGATATTAATTTGATTGACCGTTCTCAAATGCAAAATGATACCGAGAATGAAATCGGTCGCTCGCTTTTCCCATTCATTCACGGCTTTCGAATTGTAATAAGTTTCGATTGATTCCATCAATCATGAGATGCTGTAAAAATCTCTTTGGGTTGCGTTCGGGTCGATACCTAGTATTTCGGGGTAAGGGTGGTAGTTACTACTGCTGAAGTTTATTGAATCTTTATTGCCGAGTACAGCTGCCTTTGGGTAGTTTTTCTTAGTCTATTACAATTGTAAATGAATGGGAAAAGCGAGCGACCGATTTCATTCTCGGTATCATTTTGCATTTGAGAACGGTCAATAAAATTAATATCATTTCCTTTTGTTTAGGAAAGAGAGACACTGGCAGCGGTCCACTCTACCCATGATTATGGGTTTTGGTCAAATATCATCTATTTTGATTATAATGTCAGGGTACTTTATAAAGTCGAAATATAAACTGATATCTTCATTAATAAGGAGGAAGTTTCAACGATTTCGAAATTTTTCCTTTAAAAACATTTCCTTGTGTTAAGGTAAGCATATCGGTCGATCACTGACTGAATATGCCACTTAATACTCATTCAAGTTGGCATTAAATTCATATATATAATGACATTAAACTGTCGTGGCAAAGCAGAATTTGTTGGAAATCACGAATGAGCAAAATTCTCACCTTTCGCGCGTGCAAACTTTGAGCGGACGTTGCGTGCGCATCCAATATTGAATCGCCGTAAATTTTTGCATGTAATTGTTTTATATATAGTTTGATAAGCATGCAAAGTTTCAAACTATTTCAAGAAGAATTGTAATCACAACGGCACTCTAAAGTTGACAGAAAATGACGAAAACAGCAATTTTCAGTGATTTTATCGATTTTCTATCAATTTGGGCGTGTCCCCACGTGTGCAACTTTTCGATTTTCAACTTTAAAACTAGCCTAATGCACAATTTATACCTATAGGAAGCAGAACTGAGCTCCACAACTCAAGGCATGGCCCAACACCAGAGAATACTAAATCGCAAAATTGACGTTTTTATAAAATAATTCTTCAAAAAAAGCACAAACTTCAATGACGAATATCTTTATGAAGGAGCAAGCTAGAAAAACTTTCCGGTAGATTTTCAGAATGCTTGAACAATTATCTAAGGTAAAAATTTCCTCAGATTTTGAATACAATTACTTTTTAATGGTGTAAAATCATTTTTAAAAGTTATTACTTTGTCAAAAATCAAGTTTTAAAAACGGTTAACTTGATGACGTCATCAAAGGGTGTTCATGACGTCAAATAATTTGTTTATACAATGTAAACTAAAGTGTAAACAATTATTTTCAAGACCTGTGGTCGGAAATGGCTGTATCTTTTATACTTTTCAATCTATGGACAATTAAATACAGGCTACA